CCACGAAGACCAGGAAGGTGTGTAATAATGTTCTGTGCGCGAATTTTTGATGGGGTCGGAGCATTTTTAGCCCACTTATATCTGTTCCGTCCATAGTAAAAATTTGTTTCATTATTAGATGCTGTTTCGCATTCGTCGCTTGATAAGTCACTTACGTCAATTTCTGAATCTGTGTCGTGAACCGAATGTTCACTTTCAGTGTCAGTATCACTGTTATTAGAGTCACTATAAGTGTCAATATTTTCGGTTGGTTCCTCCAGAGATTCGAGAAAGTCAAAAACATTTTCACTTGTCACCGTACTTCCGCTAATTCTTAAAGCCATTTTAATGTATTATCTTAAATAATAATAACGTAACTACTATGGTGGGGTCAAATCCGACCGGAACTCAGCAGCACGTGTGCACTATCCCACTGATCGTGTGCTACTAAGCGGCATGCTAAACTACGTACTTGATTGGGAGAATACATAGAATAAAAGGTCGTTCGCCAAACTGTCTACCAGTGGCGCACGAAATTTCAAGTCCTGGGGTCAAATTTGACCCCACGATAGTAGTTTAGGGTTAAGTTATTAAATAATGTTTTAATGTAACTTAGAATTTATTCTTTTGTTTTTTTGTTTTGATATTTTTTACTGATTTGAGTTTCTTCTCTTTATTTTTTGACAGATTTGGTATATTGTGCGTTTGTTTTACAAATTTAAAAAATACGATTATGTTTGTTATAACTTTATATATTTTTAAAAGATTCGTTCTATATAAACTTGCAATATTTTGATTTTTCAATAATAATAAAAAACATCTTTTTTTGATTTATTTTAGACATCTGAAACATATTTCTATTCAAAAGGAGCAGATCATGTTTTACTCTTTTTATACTCTTTACGAGGTAATTTTTAAAAATTTTTGATTACATTGTACATTAAATCGAAAGAAATTATCTTTTGTAATATTTTATTTATAATCAAGTGAAATTTAAATTAATCAACGCAAACGAAGAAACTCTTAGTTTCATGGATATCTTTTACGATCCCAACGCAACTAAAGAAAATATAATCAGAATTCGTTGTGAGGTGATTGTGGTTCTATACTCTACTGCAGTTGATATAACTTACAAAAAAAACACAACCATACACTTTCTTTAAATGATTTAAGATACTTACAATTCAACAGAAATATCGGTAAATCATCTTTTAAACTAGAAACTCTGCCACCAACTGAAGGTGCAGGCAAACAGCATGTTCTTCGGGTTTACTATCAATTACAAATGTGGTTAGGTAATAAGTTAGATGCTTGTACCTATGGTTGAAGAGAAAGTGCCACTGGTTTTGAACTAATTTATACTGGAACTAATTATTTAATTTCCGAAGAGACATTAATGCACATTACATGCAAATGCACCACAGGTTGCAAACTACTAGATGTGGGCGCAGAAAACGTGGTTTGAATTGTACGAACTTGTGCATAAATTGTACTGAGGAAGAAGTAGAGTAGAAAATATGCTGCAACCTCGGTACAGTTACGTATAGACTGACTTAATAAATGAAGACAGATTACCTACAACAAAAAGGTTCAGACCTGACAGTGAAGTCGAATGAATGAACCAAATTTTAATTTTTGAACCAATGTATGTAAAGAAAATAAATAAAGTAAAGTTCAATAAACATTGCAAAATTTAATAAGACAAGTTTCAAAAAAATCGACTTATTTTATCAAAGCAGTAATGCAGATTAGATTAATATTGTATAATATCATATTTGTAAATTAATTATTATTTATAACTGGGAATAAGCCACAATTAAAGATAAAAATACGTTTATTGACGTTTCAATTTCCAATTCGGAAATCGTTCTCCGATTTCCGAATTGGAAATTGAAACGTCAATAAACGTATTTTTATCTTTAATTGTGGCTTATTCCCAGTTATAAATAATAATTAATTTACAATGCCACAAGAAAATAGCTTCAGAACAATATCATATTTGTACGAAAAATAGAATAAAAATTAATATTGTTAATTATAAAAATATAAAAAATTATAATGAATATAAGGAATATAATAATACAATATGTAAAAAATTACCTGAAATTTAATTTATAAAATATACAAGTATAATTACATCATCGATATACAATGAAAAAAAAATATGTTGATTTTCCGGGATTTTCCGAGATTTACGGGAATGAAAATTATTTCATCATTATTAACACTGCGACAGACTATTCCAGCCAAATTAAAAAAAAAATAGTAAGTTTTTACGGTGAATTTCAAATGAACTCAATTTTTCGAGTCATTCCATATTTTCCAGCCAGTGAAAACTATGTATTTATTCATATTTCGACGAGCTACCCCAGAATAAAAAAAGAGGCTTCCAGCTGTAATGGAAGCCGTGAAAATTTAAATTTTTCCTACGTGTTTCAATTTGAAGTTCCGATGTCGAAAAAAAAAAAAACGGAGCTGAAACAGTTATCCCCTCCACTTTCCTATGTCGATCTTTCGAAAGTACCTTCGATTCGAAGGGCTGTAAGTTTCAAAAAATTTGACGAATTTTATAGTTATAAGCTTCAATATAAAGTTATTTAAAATTTGGGCAAATTTTACTTCTTAATGTTTATAAACAATGAAGATATGATTTTTTAAAAAATAGTCGCTAACTTCGTTCGTATTGATCATAGAAGGTTTTTGAATTTTTAATCTTACTTTTTTTATCAGCTATCCAATGGTTGCACTTACAAGTCTGTAGCTTGAAAAATATAGAAATTATTACAATTGTTTATAAGTAAGAAACATACCCCTTTTTCAATCGTTTATTTTGTAAATAATGTTGATGAAAACGCATTATGCATTTAACTTTTGAGATGGTTTAAGTCTTAAAGAATCCTATATAATTTGCTAAATGTGTCTAGCATCATTCATGGAGCAAGTTCAATAGTTTAAATATGTAGGGATAACCAAATGAAATAACTTTTAAACTGTTTGACAGATCGTCAAAAAAAGTTACGAGTAACCTGGTCAAAGGCCTTTGAGAAATCAGTGTGAATGTTCTCGACCTAAATTTTATTCTCAAATGCACCCAACAAGTATTGTTGGTAATTGACAAGGTTTGTTAGTGGTGACTTACTATTAGAAAAATCCATGTTGTTCATCAATAATTATGTTTCTATAAGTCCAGGTGAGATTTATTGATACCAATCTATAAAGAAGTTTCGGGATTGCTTGTTAAATAGTTGTATCTCCATAATTGTTAACACATTCACGATTGCCAGATTTATAGATAGGTGCTGCAGGTATACCATCAGGAGCTAAAGAATATATGGCTTTTAAACTCATAATCCCGTCGAAAACATCAGACTAAATTTTAGAATCTCGAAATTAACACTATAGTCCAATTCAAAATTAGATAAATTATCCTCACTATCATTATATGTACCTTAGACATAACTGTCAAATAGATTGACTATTTCGTCACCATTCTGAGCTATTATATCCCCACCTTTATTAGACATTACATTAGAATAAGCACTAGACCCACGTGTAGCACTAAAATGTTTGCAAAAAGAGTGGGGATTACTTGAAAGATTTGCTTAAATATTCTCTAAATAATTCTTATAACATACTGCTTGTAATGATTTATATCTTTCCCTTAACACCGAAAATTCCTCATATATATTGCCTGATGCTTTAAAATTCCTGTGAGTTGTTATTTTCTGTATGTCAAGCTCAATTAATTCTCGCGAAAACCAAACTGGAAAGTTTAATGATTTAAACCGTTCAATAGGAACAAACATATTGATGACATCATATAAAATATGGTAAACATTTTCTATCCAGCAATTAATATCTGATTCATATAATACCTGGTCCCAAAGAATTGAGACTAAATACTCTTTTAAAACTTGGTAATTACATTTTTAAAAATCATAATAGACGACATCGTATTTACCAAACAAATTTAAATTGGCTTTATGTAACAATAAAGCATAAGTTGAATAATCGTGCGAAGTATTCAATAGAATATCAGTTAAAATCGATGCAAGTGCATCCCGATGCAAGTGACATATTTTGAAAATTGTAGCAAGTCCAAATAATATTTGCTGGAGAGTGATGCGGACACCCAACTGTTATGACATAAAGATAAATATTGTAGCCTTGTATTATTTTACTGTTGTTTAACGTTACTGAATATTCGTATGAGGATACGAAAAGCGCAACAAGCTTTCAGCATGCTCAACCCTGTTTGGAGGTCTGGAGACTACACTACGAGGACAAAGATCCGCATATTCCAGTCAAATGTCATGTCTATACTACTTTACGGATGTGAAACCTGAAAAGCGACAAAAACCCTTACAGACAAACTGCAGGTCTTTGTTAATAAATGTCTACGAAGAATTGTTCGTATTTTCTGGCCTAACATCATTAGAAACGAAGATTTACTACACCTGACCAAACAAAAGCAGGTAGTAAATGAAATAAAGTCCAGAAAGTGGGGTTGGATCGGTCACACACTCCGAAAAAATAACTCCAGTATTGCAAAGACTGCCCTAGAGTGGAATCCCCAAGGAAAACGAAAAAAAGGTCGCCCAGTACAAACTCGGAGAAGATCCATCATGGACGAGATAAGAAAACAAGGAAAGTCTTGGAATGAGGTGAAGGCCTTAGCGCAAAATAGAACCCGATGGCGCGTTTTCACTGAAGCTCTATGCTCCACTTAGACGTTCAAGAACCTTATATATATATATATATATATATATATATATATATATATATATATATATATATATATATATATATATATATATATATATATATATATATATATATATATATATATAACGTTACTGGAAATGATCAAAGTATTCAAGTTACTATCTCTCTTATTTTTATTGCCTTACTTTTTTGATAATATACTAACTTTATAGTCTATAATTCCTTTCTTAATAATTATTGGACATAATCAGTATCATTGTATCATTAATATTTAAAAATCTAATAATACAACTTACCATAGAAAAAAAGGTAACCAGCACGCTAAAAACGCCGATACAATAATCCCTAACGTCCTGGCAGCTTTTCTTTCTCTCTTCATTTTGCTACTGGAACCTGGATCCGTAGCTACAGCCTCGGCAGCTGCAGCTTTGTCGTCGGACACAAGGCCTTCATCAACTGATTGTCGTAACGAAGTCAAACCGGCGGATATGCCGTTAATTTGAAGGTGCTTGTTAAGAAGTGCTGCAGCGACTTTACTCCTGAAACAAATAATTTTAAATTAATTAATTAATTTTATTTCCCTATAACTTCTTATCTTTTAATAGACATAATAGAAAATTTGTCATCCAAACTCAGGATATACATACAATAGAAACAAACATGAATGATGGTATAAATGTGAGATAACTTTCATAAACCAATACTATCAATTAATAACGCAACTTTGTGTGTGGAATCGGATTGCCTTTCTACTTTCAACTAATTTTTTTAATGTCTTGTTTGATTTGGTACTGTTCTAAACCTAATAATTTTACGTAGCTGTCCCTCTCAATTTAAAATAAACAAAACTTATATAAATCATTTTATATAAAATTATTCACGTACATGCTAAGATTGTTTTGGGAAAACCACAATTTTATCATATCTGATAGAAAGTAGAAATGGTCGATAAAGGACGGAAGACCCTTTTTGGTTATCTATTAACTTGTGACAGCACACGTGTAGGTATACTAAATTGTTTTGACGTTTAGAAAGACACAACGGACTTTCTGAAATTCCCCGGGCTCCTGAGGCCTTCATTTGCGATTTGGTTTTTCGACAAGAAATAAATTGTATGATATACTTGTTCGTAAACATTAACTAAAAACTTTAGGTTCAGATAAGTAATGTAATTATTAGATCATGTAAATTGTCTAAAACAAAAATAGGTACTGCATTTGTATTCATATAAAATATGTAGTTATTTTGATGATATAGCTCTCACAACCTATTTTTAGTGCCCCATTTCCTTTTAATAGATGTAGTAGAAAGAGACAAAAAATTGTATATCCGTGATTATTTTCGCCAGATTGGACCAATCACAGCAAAGATTGTCGCTCTTGCCGACCAATAACAAAGGGTGGTATTAACTGCGTATGTATTGGCTATCTTCCGATCGGGATCAAGTTAGTCTACATCTTGATAATCGAGCAAAAAGACAAAAGAGGAAATCTAATCGTTATGAAAAGGAGACCAAAAAAGTGGCCTCTGATGGCGGAAATATCCGGAAATGCGAATGCGCCAAATTTAAATTGTCCATTAACAGTAGCTATAAAATAGTTTTCAGAATGTGTCTTAGACGAGAAACTTTAACTAAATATTAACGATAACACTCTAAAATGATACACACATTGTTAAAAAACTTTAATATAAATAAGCTTTCATGTGACAGTTGGGACAAACAATAACATAACCCAACTAAATTTGATTTCTTAAACAAGGAAAGATTCTCTTTCCTTGTTTAATGTGGCCTCTCAAGATGGCATTTCCTGTCTAACGATATTTTTGCCCACACTACCTTTACATTCCCTCTTTTGTCTTTTTGCTCGATGATCTTGATACATGTCAAGACCTAGTGACCTAGTGCAGCCTTTTTCAACTTTTTGCCTTTTATTCTCACTTATGTAAAACGGGTAAATACACTTTACGATCCCGGTAAAGTTAGGTATACTCAATGACGTATAATATATAGACTCGGTGAACGCTTTAAAAAGTGTCCACAACCTGAATACCTTTGCTATTGTTTATTGTTTTGATACGAAGATGCACGAAGTTTATGAATTCTTACGAAGCATTACGAAGTTGATCTTGTATTTGAAAACATTTTCGCCATTTTGTGTGTTTACATATTTTATGTGACAAGCAAATTTTATTTTAAATTGTTTTTTTTGTGTGTTTTTTGCTTGGACAATTGTCATTCAGCCAGTCTCAATCAAGATAAGTTTATTAATGTAGTGTGTGTGTGTGTGTGTGTGTGTGTGTGTGTGTGTGTGTGTGTGTGTGTGTGTGTGTGTGTGTGTGTGTGTGTGTGTGTGTGTGTGTGTGTGTGTGTGTGTGTGTGTGTGTGTGTGTGTGTGTGTGTATGTGTGTGTGTGTGTTTGTGTGTGTAGAGTAATTGTCTTGATACTTGGCAAAGTCGACGTCATTGTCTCTGCTAAGAGACGCTAATTGTATCCGAACGTCTACGGTCCCTCCGGTGTGTACCGATCACACAAGGATAGCAATTATTTTCATTTATTAATTTTTTTTAATAAACGAGAATTTCCACCAAGGTGGGATTCGAATTCACGACCTTTAGGTTTAAAGGCAGGCGCTCTTACCACTGAGCCACAGAGGGGGTTACTTTAAATTGTTAAAAGTTATTTATTTACTATTTTAGAAAAAATGCCATACTTCCACAAAGAATATAGTACATCAGACCATCTGCTGACAATGAGAACATTGATAGAGAAGGCAACTGAATACCAACTACCCGTATTTCTTACCTTCGTCGACTATGAAAAGGCGTTTGATAGTATCGAGATGTGGGCCATAGAACAAGCTATTAATAAATGTAGAATAGATTGAAGATATAGGCAACTAATACATAATATATATATATATATATATATATATATATATATATATATATATATATATATATAAACGCAATTATGATAGTACAACTAGACGAAAATACAAATCCCATCCCCATTAAGAGAGAAGTGAGACAAGGAGACGTAATATCGCCAAAGCTTTGCAACCTAGCCCTAGAAGACGTCTTCAAAATTACAAATTGGTCAACCTATGGCATTAACGTTAATGGCAACAAGTTAAACCACCTCAGATTCGTAGACGACATAGTGATTATATCGAGTACATTCGAGGAACTGCAAATTATGTTGGGGAAACTAGCAGCCAGCTCCCAATACGTCGGCCTAAAAATGAATATGACAAAAACAAAAATAATGACAAACACAGATGACCCCAGACATATAACTATAAACGGCAGTGAGATAGAACCAATCCAGGAATATATCTACCGAGAGCGATGGAGAGGTCAATGCTGAATATACCCCTCAGAGACAGAGTATCAAATAAAATAGTTAGGAGAAAAACTGGTGTTACTGACGCAGTTCAAAGGATTACAACATTGAAATGGAACTGGGTGGCGCACGTTGCCAGAAAATTCTGGAATGGAGACGAAGTCACGATGCTTATCGTAATCGAGGACGTCCTACGACAAGGTGGTCAGATGACATCAAAAGCATTCAGCAAAACTGAATTCAGGGTGCTCAAGATAGAATGCATTGGAATTATTTACGGGAGGCCTATGTCCAGCAGTAGACTCAAAACGGCTGATGATGATATATAAAAATAACTTCATCGAAATAAGAAGACTTCACTCCGATGAAGGTTTTAAAGCTCTTTAAGTGTTTAAGAAACGATAGGAATCGGCGTTTGTTGACTTTTGGATTATCTTTTGTCGTAGTAAAGAAAAGTCTGGTAATGGGTTGAACTCGTAAAAGCCATCAAGCAGGTCAAGGAGAACGCTCACTGGTCAAAGAGATACCGATCCCCGAAATAGAGAAGAGACAGATTGCCTTAAAACTATTTCGGATCGTGTCAAACTGCCACAGCGTTCCAATAGACCACCGATGGTTAGGAGTAAATAAAAGCCCAGGTGGACTTGGAATTACTCCTCAATCGGTGGCCGAGCTGAAGCAGCACTTAACGCCAAACCATTTGTTAGGAATAAATAAAGGCCTTTACGGGACTTTAAATTATTTCACGAAAGGTGGCGGTACGGAGTGAGCCCTTCGATATCGACCGTAAATAAAGGACTCGACGGGACTTACAATCACTCTGCAATCCAGGGCTAGTCGAAAAGGCGCTGATGTTTGAGGATCCGACTTCTTCTTAACGTGCGCTATCAAGTCCCTTTGACGTTGGCGATTAACATGGCGAAACTGTCTCTGTCTCGAGCTATTCGAAAGAGTTGCTCAGCTTTTCTTATTCCTGTGCACTCCCTGATATTCTTCAACCAAGAGGCCTGCTTTATACCAATTTCTCTGCGTCCTTCGATTTTACCCATCATAATAAGTTGAAGAATATTATATCGGTCTCCCCTTACTACGTGTCCAAAATAGACCAATTCTACATTTGATGTGATCAAGCAGCTCGCGAGCAGCATTTGCTCTCTCAAGGACTGCCACATTTGTCAGCATAGCCGTCCATGGAATTATTAGTATACGTCTGTGCAGCCACATTTCAAAGGCCTCCAGACGATTAATGATGGATCTTTTTAATGGCCATGCTTCGACACCGTATAAGAGGACTGACCAAATGTAGCATTTAACCATGCGCTTTCGAAGTTGAAGTTGTAAGTTATCATTACAGAAGAATGTCCTCATTTTTAAAAATGTCATGCGGGCTATCTCGATTGTACATTTTATCTCTTGATCTGGATCTAGTTGTTCAGTAATATGACAACCAAGATAATTAAGGATCCGACATCTCTGTAAAATTCAAGGCATCTATCTTGCATAGAATACTAATCAATATTTCATATAAGATAAATATACATACAATTCACGTAAGAAATTCGAACTGTTTAAGTATTTCACACTGATGGTAGCATCTTACTGACAGTAGATTCTACGGTAAGCTTTTTGCTGAGTGTAAGTCAAGGACAGATCTCCACTAATAAGAGGATGGAATCGAAAAAACTTCGTTCTTCCTCCAGAGCGGCGGTCGGAAGTCGTCCTGAAACTCCAAATAACTTGGAAGATGAACCGGCAGTACGATATTATTTTTGGAAGGAAAAAATATATTTGTTACCTAATTATGCCAGTAGTTCTCCTTGTATAGTATTATTACCCCCAGATTTATTTTCGATGACCCAAGAGCATCTTTTTCTTTTAAAAGCAGTGACAAAACTTATAGCGAAACATAATTATTGTGGAATATCAGTGTTACACTTACCAAAGGTAGTGTGTTCTGTCATCTTTGTTAATAATTTAGTACGCAAGCCTTGCTACGCTCCTGATGGAATCTACGCAGCGCGACGATTCAACTGTCTATCAGTGCCGAGAAAGTTTAAGGAATTTCCGAACAGCGAGCCAAGTATATATAAGAGAAATTGAAATCCAAATAAGCCAGTAAAAAATATAAATTTGTACCGCTACGTAAATTAATGTTATAAAATATTTGTGTTTTATTGTTAGTGCTAAAAAACTTTAAATCAATTAAAATAAATATTACAAACAGGAGTAGATAAACCAGAACCTATATATTGTAATAAAATGTACCAAGCTGTATTTTGTTCTCTCTCTATCTAACTCTTTAGATAGTTGATACAGGATTATAATGTCCAAATTAAATAATGTATAATAACAAAATATTGCTATGTAAAGATGTAAATACATAATAATAAAAATATTAAAGTACATAATAATAAAAAGAAACAATTCCACTAATTTCTATTAGTGAACATATAAATAAATTTTTATTCAAGCAAAAGAATCCCAATATGTAATTTTTTTATCGCATATTTTTATCTCAAAACATTTTTAAATGTACTATTACGCACGTGTAGGCTGATAATGAATTCTGGAAATGCAAGTTTTATATAATATTAATGCATTATTTTGCTTGATGTTATTTCTAAATTTAAATATTATGAAGCTATTATTTCTTGTGATGCTAAAAAAATTTTTTCTTTCTATAAATTACTACGGAATGTTCCTGCAGATCCATAATTCACCTTGCACAATTTAAAATATAAACATGCAGCCTTTTTCTACATGACGATGGCAAGACATATTGCAGATAAAAACACATTACTTAAGAACCTGTGTCCCCCCAAGTGCTGAAAATTGTAATCAAATACATCATGTAATAATAAATAGTAAATATGGATCAGACATCTAAATAGTATAAGATTTAAAGGAACTAATATTGATTCACATCATTACTCAGCGATTCTTTTTCTTGGTGTACCATTTGCAGAGTGAATATTTCGGCTCTTCGGGGTATTGTGGCTACGTGTTTGTTTCCAACAATCCCTTATGTTTCTTAGCCACGACTGTTGTTTTTCTTCTATGTCTTGCCTCCCCTGTATATTTCTTTATAAGATTAGTTCGGGAATATAGTACTTGCTTGCCCTAAGGGTATGGCCAAGGTACGAAATTTTTCTTTTCTTCACTACGTATGTTGAGCTGATCTTCTTTGTACCTGCGGTTCTTAAAATGGCTATATTTGTGGCATGAGCAGCACATGGCATTTATAAGTCTTCATAAAGAGAACATTTGAAATGTGGCAATGCATTCTGTTTTGTCTCCTTTTTTGTATAATGGGCAAATAATTGCTTCCTTCCAATCTTTTGGTATTCGTTCTTTTATCCATATCTTCTTTATGATCTTATACATTCAATAATTTAGCAATTTTCCACCATATTTCATCATCTCTGCTGATATATTATCGCTTTCAGGGCATTTATTGTTTTCCAGATATTTAGGATTTCCTCGATTTGTTCTTTGTTGGGTGAATTATCTTCCATGTTTTCCAAGAGTTCGATTCTTGCTTCTGCTGCCATACATTCTCTTTGACTTGACTTATTATTGCCATTTAGTAATTCGTCAAAATACTCTTTCCATATTTCAACTATTTCTGCTTCACAGTTGACTTAAAAATAAATATTATATATTTCAGTATGTATTTGAACTTTTTTTTACTGAACGATATTCGTTTTAGAGAATACAGTTATATCATGGAATATAATTGAAAAAAGATAAGTTAATATAATTAAAAGGGTGATATTTGTGTTTGGATCCATTTTTCTCAAAGGTAATATTATTTTTATACATTTATTTTTGATATATAGAGTTATAAGTAAAAATATATCTATTTTTCTTAAAAGTTTAACGTTAAAAGTGAATAGTATGTTCCGATAGAAAGTTACTTTCTTAGGTGTTACTTTATTTTAGATAATACATTATAAAATAGAAGCAATTAAGTGTGCGTAAAAAGTAGTTTTGTGAAATGTAATCTTATTGTTTAAAGATATGTTGTTATATTTAAATTATCTTTTTTTTTTCAATCTTCAGCAGCCCTATTATGACAAATGATGACACATATGGCAATGGCAATAATAATTTTTTTGGGTAAGATAAAATACAAAGATACACCGCTTTAAAGTTACTAAAAATGTGAATATTCTTATAAGTGGTATTATTTTTATTTTTAAAAACTTAATTATCTAAAAAAGCTCTGGATAAAGGTACTTCATCTTCAAGCAGTGCCTCATCTTCAATCAGTAACTCATCATCAAGCAGTAAGTCATCATCTAGCAGTAACACAACTTCGGATACAGACAACAGTTCACAACATTCTAAAAACAATCCTTATGAACCAGATGACAGCATCGCAGATTCGCTTTTAAACCACCTGTCATTAAAAGGCAAGTTAAAATCACAAGAGGTAATGCAATTAAAAAAAAAGTTAAAGATCCTTTAAACGATGAAAAGGTGGGTATTAAGAAACTTCGGCAGCCTGCAACGTGGCAACAGGCAGACTCAAAAAGATTGCGAAATGGCGGAGAAGCCTATTTATCTGCCAGAATTGTTAAAAATGCAGACAGCACACAAACCAAATCCAAAATATTATGGCCAGCTAAAACCATTTTACCACCCTGCGGAAATAAATGCAAGTAAGGGTGTGCACATATTTTTTTATGGCAACGCTATTAATTAATCACAAAGTCATAACAACGGTTCTGCGAAAACAAACTGTATACGAAACCGGAAAGTTTATAGAAAGGGACAAGAGAGGGAGGCATGGAAAATATCAAAAAATAAGTTAGAGCATAAAAAATTCAATTATAGCTCACATTAACTCTATCCTCAGGAAAGAAAACCATTATTGTCGGTCGAATTCTACTAAAAAGTACATTAAAGAAAGCAAAACCATAGCCGATTTACACAGGGACTACCTTAAATTATGTAAGGAACAAAATGTTTCTTCGGAGAACTACCTTATGTACTTTAAGATCTTCAACGAAGAATTTAATCGAGCATTTCATGTCCCTAAAAAAGAACAATGTGAAGAGTGCTTGAGATACAGGTCTTCGTCAGGGAAAGAGAAGGCATCTTTACAAAGTTCGATAAACATTTAATAGGAAAAGATTTATCCAGAACAAAAAAATATGACAAAAATAGTAATGGTACAACCAAAGTCGTAGTGTATGATCTTCAAGCAGTTTTGCCTTGTCCAACTGGAGAAGCATCATCATGTTTCAAAACTGAATGTTTTTAATTTTACAGTCTATGATATGTAGTCTCACGTACTTGCTTTTTATGGCATAAGGGGGAAGCTTTGAGGGGGTCAAATGAAATAAGATCTTGCATTCTAAAGTTTCTTCAAAATATTTGTAATGACGAAAATTTAAATATAATCTATTTTGATAATTGTGCAGAGTAAAATAAAAACAAATTTATAATATTGCCCTTTACTTGTATGCTATAAATAATTTGCCCATAAAATCAATAAGTCATAAATTTTTTGTCCCAGGACATGGACAGAGTGAAGGGGATAGTGTCCAAACTATGACAGAAAAACAGACAAAAGAATATAAAAAATCAAGTGCAATATAGGTATCTGACCAATATGGGTGCATTATTCGGATAGCTTAAAAAACTGTAAGTCCGTATAAAGTACATGAAATGGGTTTTAATGACGTGTTTGATTTTAAAGCTTGGTGTGCAAACTTACCCTTACTATTCCCAAAATTTTTAAAATATCTTATGTGAGGATCTTGATGTTAGACCGCAACAATCCTACTATTCTTTATTATAAATCATATTTTAATCAAGCAGAATATGGGCAAGTGGAAATTGTGCGTTCTAGCCGTGGAATTAATATCAATAATATTGCTTTAATGAAAGCTTTTACAAAAAAAGTGGGAATCATTGAAGCTAAGAAAAATGGACTGTTATCTTTAATAGAAAAAAAGCGATGTGTTCCTTGGCGATGGACTATTTAAAATTTTATAAAAATTTGTAAAGAAAAACAATCGTTATTGTTGCTTTATGTTTTATATTGTGTTGTGTATTGGATACGAACTGGTTAAGTAGTTTTTTATGTTTTATTAATCAGTTTTATTAAATAATATTGATTTAATGACATTTTTAACAATACTTTACCAATACAATTTCTAAAATGTAACTTTATGAGCAAAAGCAATTTCTTAAAAAGATAATATTTCTTTATCCATAGGGTTATATCTTTCTAAACCTGATATATTCAAAAAAAGAGCGATTAAAGGATCAGAAATCTATCATACTCAATCATCAAATCCTATTATATTTATAAACACTGCACAATATAAATGAAATAAATTGAAAAGAATTTTAAAACCTTTCTACTGAAAAAGTGTAAATTCTTAGATGTAACCCTCTTCTTCCACATAAACGATATAAATAGGAGTCGAGTTTTTTCAAATAAAGTGTCTAGATTGTGATTGGGTATTAAGCACTTTACAAAATGTTTATTTTTATTAAAAGTGCCTTTCGATTTACTTGTAATATAAGTATTTAATTAAAATAAAATTTAATGCTCATCAAAGGAGAAGACACAATAATAAGAAAAAAAATTTAATAACCGATAAAAGTTTAATATTAGGATCTCACAAACAGTCTTGGAAATGCGTAGTTTTAAATTGTATAAATAAAACAATGATCGAGAGTATTTCATTTTACGCCTACGTAAGTTTCCGATTTACGCGTATTGAACTAATCGATGAAATATTTCAATAAGAATTTAATATAAAGTCTCTTAACAATCTTCTAAAACTTCAGGGATAGTCGTAGTATGCGACAGAAAACCAGAAAGTTATTGGTCAAATCATTTTTAGCCCTGAAAAGCAGAGATAACGACGTCACGTATTTAATTTCGTGAAGAAGAATTATGTGACGTTTTTTCCTAATTGTTTTCCCATTTTCAAGCGCGCGTTTCGTTTTGAAACTTCCTTGACCGTTTAAGTTCCTATCTTTACAAGTCGTTACGAAATAATCTTAAGCCAATATATATATATATATATATATATATATATATATATATATATATATATATATATTTAATAAGGATCACTCAGACGAGTGGTGGGTTCAAATATCGGTCAACTGGGTGGAGAAATAAAAGACAAAGTTGATACTACTTCATCTATTTTGAAGACGTTTCGCTATCGAATTTTGATAGCATCATCAGTTCATCTAAAACTTTTACATTATGAGAACCACACATTAATGAAGAAGATGTTACATAGTTACCTTAAAAAGACATGTAGTTGTCAATGGTATTAAAAAGTTAGTACAAAAACTCAGATAAATGGACATCATATGGTGATATTTTATAAACAATCAAATAACTAACAACATTTAGAGACTTAATAAAAAATTAGCAAAGCAACAGAACACGTGGTCTAATCTACATATAATATTTTATATAATATTAACTAGTGATAAAAGAACTAAGAAAATCATCGATTCACTTCCAACTCTGAAAGAATTATTTTATGACTTCATCTTAACTTTTGGTAGCGTTATTTAAGTTATCTACATTGAGATATAAAAAATATATATAAAACAAAAAATAAAGTGAAGTTACCACTGTATGCTTAGCACCTGTTGCGGTTGAAATGGCGTTAATTGAAAGATACCGAGCCAATGACATGAACAGACAGCCAACCTTGAGGTCGAAAATTCTTCGACAGAACAGCAAGGTTAAAAATACCAACCCACTATTTTAAGGGCGGTATATTTGAAAAAGTTAACATGAGTTTGAATGATACACGCCTGTAAGAGACCGAACAATGAAAGAAATTAGCGATAACGTTAATCCCCTGCATCAACCAGTCTTGAACGAACAGGTAGGCAAAATTCATTCAACTTCATATATAAAAGAGTGAAAAATCATCAACATTGTAGTTGGATATACAGCTACAGGTGAATGACGATAAGCACCTAATTTCCACAAAAGTCCAAGGTCCCACGCTTGGAACTTTAATTTATAAGGTATTCTCAGAATAAATTGCATTAATTTGTATTAAAGTAAAGATCAAAAATTCACATTAATCAAAGTATGAAAAACGACATTGTATGCAATGTGAGTTGCATAAGTAAGTCCAAGTTAATTGACATTATTGTAATATTATATTTTATCAAAGTATTAATTATAATAAGTTAGAGTTTTAGAATTATTTAATAAACAAATGTGTTAAATTGTACGACTTTAGAGACACACACATAATGAACTGATTGTAAAGCCTAATTCTGCAAAATTAAAGCATGATATATTTGGCTCAAGTTACTTATGTCAGTTCTCTTATTTAAAGCATTAGGATGTTGAAGAATAGAACACATTTCTAAGAACTGTCTTTTACCAAGATTACGCTCAGTGCCAAGAATTTTGACTTAATTGAAATCCACCTTATGTTTGGTGTTAATCGCGTGTAGCGCTAACGCACATGTGTGCTTTGACAGATTAATGTCACTTCGATGCGAAGTGAGACGTCCTTTTAATGATCTTCCAGTTTAACCAATATAATATGCGTTACACTCAGCACAAGGTAAGTAGTATATAGTGTTCACTTGTTCCAAAGTGGACAAGGGTGTTTTAGTTTTAGAAAACAAATTTCTAACAGTCTTAACATTCTTAACCGCAATTTTAACTGGTATGTTATTCTGTTTATACAGTTTAATAAGCTTCTCAGTAACTTGAGGAAAATAAGGCAGAGATGAATAATGGGTGGTAGGATTCTCAAGATCAGTATCAGGCAGAACAATGCTATTAACTGAATTATTTAAAATGGTTCTAAGTTGGTCACCATTGGGTATATCATCAAAAGAAGATCCATAACTTTGAGAATAAAGGTATTTATTTATGATAGATGATGGATATGAATTTTCAATTAGAATATTTCTCAATAACTTAAGGGATTCCCTTCGATTAATCGGATGTGTCAATTTATGTAATCTGCAACTAAGTGCTTTAATTAGGTTCAATTTATATTTCATAGGGTGACAGGAATGGTAATTAAGGAACCTATTTGAGGCCATTGGTTTTCTATACCAACTTGTGGTGAGGGTGTTATCTCCCATTCTGATGACACGCATGTCTAAAAAGGGGATACTATTTGTGACAGTGTCCTCAAGTTCAACAGTGAACTGTAAGTGAGGATCAAATTCATTGAAAAAGGATAAGGTATGCTGAACCTTGTCAGGTGGTAGGGCTAATAATAAATCATCCACATACCGCTTAATAAAAGGGATTGGAAAATCTAAACGACCTAAACAGTCAGAAACCAAATCATCTAGTACATAGTTGACTAGGATGGGTGAAATTGAGGAACCCATAGGTGTGCCAAATATTTGGAGGAAAAATTTGTCCTCAAAGACCAAGAAGTTGGTGTCAAAAATTATTATTTCGAAAACGGTGTACTTTTTTGATTTGAAACAGGAATACTTTTTTTGTGTAGAATTGAATGTTATTTCATGTTTTTTTCCTAGAACGTTTATACAGGGCGGACAAAAAAATTATGGCCCCATTAATGAACCAATGTTACAGTAGGTGGCGCCACCTAGTGTTAATGGTAAAACTAATATCATTTTCTTATTAAGCATACTAAATAATAGCAAGATACCAAATTTCACTTAAATCGGTTGAATAGTTTTCAATATATCTATAAAAATAATATAAAAAAATTTTAATGAATCTCCCTGTAGAACGAAAACTAGCAACATTTTTGCTAAGCAATTTGAGCTCAAATGCTTTATTTTGATGTCAGCTATCACCCATTAGCTAATGTCCAATTAATTATGGGACACACTGTATACCTATTTAATTTATGCAACTTGAAAATTAAATATTGCTGCCACTTTTTTATTATTCAAACACTATATATAATACAGCTTTTTTGACATTAAGTGATCAAACCACTACTTTTTTCTATACATGTAATGCGAATGAATTTTATAAAATCTGAAAAACAGTAAGTAGTTTTGATATTTTTAGGTATTAAATCAAATTTACCCTAATCACTTGACTGATTAGACTCTGTAACCTTCAAAGTAATAACTGAATTTCGTCGTAACCGATCAAATTCGCATTCTCCTTGAAAGTCATCGCGTATCATTTATACATGCCAAAAACGCTTATGGCGTCAACACATTCTGCCAGAATCAATTCTGGTTTTAATTAATTTGAAGAGTTTCCATATTGTAGATGAAGTTTTAGAGGTAGTTCGGAAATTTAACAACAGCTGTCAAACCTACACCTGCTCTGTTCATAGTAATAATGCATTTAATCCTTGGAAATATGTTAAAAAAGTTTGGTTCGCACCTGCATTAATTAATTGGAAAACTAAAGTAAAACGTTCGACAAACGAGTCGTTACACCAGGTTTAGAAGTTAGAAAATTTATAGCTTAAGTTAAACGTTGTTACGAACAAATTATATTAAATTAGTTTTTTTATCGAAGCAAGAGGCATGACCGAAAATACAGTGTCGGACATTAATAACCACTAGATAAAGCAACCAACTGTAGATTGCACTAAAATATTGGTAATATATAATCTTAAATAGAATATAAATGTCTGATTAGCGTCGAGCTCCATAATACATGGACAAAAATATCAAATATTTTGGATTTTTCAATTTTTTTTTGAAAATAAATTCTGGCCAATCAAGTCGTTTGTTGTGAAAAAGATTGTATTTTAACAATGTTTAATGAACAATTTTAAATTTTTATGCGGAGAAAATTGAAAAAAAAAATGCTTAATGTTAGGTAAATAAAGTTTTTTTAC